CCTCCCACATTCACTGCTGGAGCAAGAACTAGATCCACATCCGTGGGACTGGAGCCCTTCATTGAATTGGTAACAGAAAACAAACACGCACAACCCAAAGGAACAAAGAGCAATGCTGTGTCTCAGGAGTGTGGAAAACCTCAGAGGTCAGGCTGGACCCCGGCTCTGCCCCTGGCAGGGCTCTGGCCTGTGCCTGAGCCAGGCAACGGCTCTGGGTACCCAGGGGAGAGATGAGAGAATGCAGTGGAAAAGCCTCCAACAACGAGGAACCAGGGTGTCCACGCCGAGGAAACGCTTCCCACCCCTCCGCTCCTCTCTCCCTGATCCCCTCTTTTCCTGATTCCTTCTGTCTTCCCTCTGTTTGGGGGGGTAGTGGGTTAAAATGGCTTTTGTGGAGTAAACCAAAACAGGACCACAGAGCAAAGTAACCTTATTCATTTACTTATTTTCCTTGCTACTCTGGACAGTGGTGGAGATTAGACTTGGAGTCTCCCTCTGCCAGAGCCAGTGCTGCACCTCGAGAGCCAGATCTCCATTCTTTTGCTTTTAGTTTAGTGTCTAGATTACAGGTGTGAGCCACTATGTGCAGCAATAAAGTAACCTTTTTCCAAGGTAAATACTGAACATTCTTAACTCTAAAACATAAATCACAAGAAAATGCACTCTTAAAATAGAGTTTGCTTATCAAGAAAACAGGAGATGAACAGAGTAAATTGTCCTATTTAAAATATGTAGCTTTCCAGGCACCAGTGGCTCACACCTATCATCCTAGTTACTCAGGAGGCTGAGATCTGAGGATCGTGGTTCAAAGCCAGCCCAGGCAGGAAAGTCTGTGAGACTCTTATCCCAATTAAGCACCAGAAAACTGCAAGTGGCTCTGTGACTCAAGGGGTAGAGCTCTAGTCTTGAACAAAAGAGCTCAGGGACAGCACCCTGGTGCTGAGTTCTAGTCCCAGGACTGACAAAAAATAAAAATAACAATAAAAGATAAGAAATAAAATAAATTTAGCCTTTGGTAAAGAATCCACACTTCCCCACACCCCACACTGGCTTAACACAATTATCCCCATGTTAATAAACATGTGTGTGTATGTGTGTGTGTGTGTGTGTGTGTGTGTGTGTGATTTCTTTTATTACAATTGTCTCTAAATAGTGGAGATTTTTTTTTGGGGGGGTCCGGTCGTGGGGCCTGAACTCTGGGTCTGGGCACTGTCTCTCAGCTCTTCAGCTCAAGGCTAGCGCTCTACCACTTGAGCCACAGTGCCACTTCCGGCTTTTTTCATTTTGTTTATGTGGTGCTGAGGAATCGAACCCAGGGCCTCAGGCATGCAAGGTACACACTCTACCACTGATCCATCTTCCCAGCCCAACAGTGGCACTTTTGTCATCGTGACTGTTCAAATCAAAAGGTCACACTGGCAGAGCTTAAAAAACCCTGCTAATTTAAAGGTACAATGAGATTTGGTCTCCGGATTCCTCTACCTCAGAGATGACTTGCCCGTTGAGGCTGGTGTTCAAGGACATCACGAGATCTAATGGAAACTGGAAAGTCGTAGGCGTGGAATGTGCAGTGCAAATCGCCGGAGAACCTGACGTCATCTCTACAACTTAAAAAGAGGGTTATGACAGGAACAACGAAGTTCCCCATGAAATAATGCGTACAAACTTAGAGACAATAGTGACAAGATTTACCTCGAGGAATAAGTAAGTGCATTCCGAATTTTAAGTGAGGATAAATTGAGAAAGCATTTCCAACTACCGGCCTGGTAAGCGTCTCCTCTGGCGAGCACCCACTGGCTGCTGGCCAAAGTGCACCCGCGAAGACAGCTGGGGTGTGGCAGGCGGTGGCTAAGGTGGCCTTTCTAGAAATCACTTCAGTGATGGTGGTCCTTACCGCTGAATCCTGACTGCCAGACTGTATTCTGAGAGCGTAACCCAGATTTGACCAGATGGGCGATGTCAGCTGCAACAACTTAGAACAGAAAAACAAACTCCACATGAAAAGCGATGTGATTCTTCCACCAAGAGTATTGTTAAGGAAAGTCGTGCAAGAAGACATGCAGGCGCAGTAAATGCATATTCATAATTTTATTTTCGTTCTATAAAAATGACCCGGGTGACTCTTTTTCAATACTCGTAGGAATTTTCATGACACACATGGGATTGGAAATAAACACATAAAATTCTAACACCTGCTGTCACTAGGTGATGGGTTTATTCATCTTCTTTTGCTTTTCTCTCATTTTTTACACTTTCTCCAATTTTCTGTGGTGTCCAGGGTCTTCCATGATTATGAGTAAGAGATAAGGACAGAAAAGAACATATTCGAATGGAACTGACATCAGAAGACATTTAATCTAGCAACAAACATAATCAAGCAACTAACATACATGTTTATTGTGAGTTTTTCCTCTTCCCATTAGCATGCAACAGGAATGGCGGACGGAGGGTGAACAAATGCACTCATGGCACTCAATAGACATGAAGTGAACTATGAACTATGCCACTGTGTGCGGGACAGGGAGAGGCAAAGCAGAGGAAAGCGTAGCAACGGTGACCTTGTCCAAGAAGCGGTGTGCTCCTTCCCTGACATGCCTGACCCCTGTACCACTACCTAATAATAGCAATAAAATTGGTTTTACTGTGATCCTTGCACACATGCACAGAAGGTGCTTTCATGTTGCTTAATCAAAGTCCAGACCTGGAAAATTCAACTTTAGAGGAAGATAGATTACTGATACGCAATTATTTCAGGATTGTATCCATCAGTACAGTCGTAGGCTGTGTGTGAAGTGTGAAATGTGGCTTTATAGAGGTATGACTCTTCACGGTGGGAGCCACCTATGGGTTGTAACCTCTGTACCTTGGTAATAGAGTGACACCCAACCGGACGCCATGGAGCACCTTACAAAGTGCCAAATGTATGTAATAATTCCAAAAAGTGTCATTCATGATAGCAAGAATGAAAATGATCCATGGGATGATTACAATACTTTCGCTGACTATGTGACCAAGAGAACTATGGGTGAGTTCAGACCCGTGTTGGTAAAGATGAACTTGTCAGGTAAAACCACTCGCTCAGCTTCGTGAGCTTGCAGTCTGTTGTGAAGGAGACCCATGAGGTAGTCAGGATGCAGAGCGGGAAGTTCTTAACAGAACATGGTGATCGTTTCCAGGTGAGCAGAGAAAGGCCCACCACCAAGAACCACCCAGCAGCACCTGCAGGAGGTGCTGTGTTCACAAATGACTTGGTGCCTGACTACTCAAAGGTAATAAAAATGTGTCCAACAAAATAATAATCCAGTCATTCAGCATCAACAATTCTAATTCTAACTGAATAGTCCACAGACTCTGTCCAGGCAGCCCATAGAAAAGCCTATTGGGGTGCTACGGTGTGGTGCGTTTCCTGAGCGCCTCCCTGCCCGCCTCCCCACCGAAGGGCTGGCTGGTAGTTTCAGCACCTTTGTCCCCTGTCCCCAGCTCTCCCCTCCTCGTGTCAGCTTTATTCAAGTCCTTCTCAGAAGCAGCTTCCTGCGCGTTCTCCGGGGCCAGCAGGTTTCTCCAACAAAGCCTTAGAAGCTGCAAACGGTGAACAGCTGCTTGAGGAAACTGCCTTTTCCCTTTGTACTTAAAATCTTTTCATTACTTTTTAAATAAGAGTCATGAAATGGCAGGTAATTCTCTTCTGTTCTAGAACTCAGAATAAAAACAAAGAGGAATTAGAAATAGGAACGGTTTAGCCTTTCCTCAAAGTCTGCCTGTGGGACGGTTCACAGCTGGGTCTGGCTTGCGTGGTGGGCTCCGTGAATTCCCTTAGGCCGCGACTAAAAGGAAGAGCTCCCTTCCCTGGCGAGCTCAGCCCTGCCCTGGGCCGGGCGGGAGGAGGCTGCAGGCCCGTGCCCTGGGAGTGGGCAGCGGGGCGGGGGAGGCCTCTGGGAGGGACGGCAGGCCCAGCCTCGGGCCCCGGCTCGGCTCCCACACTGTTGTTTGGGGGAACTAATGCGAAGCGCTGAAGCAGCTCCTCAGGAGAAGCCTGACCCGGGAGGAGCCTCCTGCCAGGGCTTCCTTCCACCTCGTCTCCTCAGGGCGAGGCAGCCGGTCATACTCTAGGCCCAGAGAAGTCAGGGAAGCTACGGGAAGCTGCCAAGCTCAGGAACCCCTGCCCTTCCCCCACCCACCTCCTCCTGTCTTGTGTTTTCATTTTTCAAGAGCACCTCCCTACTTCTGGACACTTCTGGTTTTATTTGACGCCGGTGCTAGCAAGTCCAGATACTCATTTCAGTCGGCAGACTACAATTCAGGCAAGGCGGTTCGCTGTCTTCCCAGTGCCACAGGGGGTGGACACCAAAGGGGTCTGACTGAGGGCTGCAGGGTGAGCCGGACTCTTCTCTGAAACTCACAGTGAGAACCTGAGACCTTGCTGGAGAGTGGCTCACCTAGCAGGGTACCGGACGATGCCGTCCCCCGAGTCGAAAAGATGGATAAGTCAATGTAATGATAAAAATGTGAAGGTGACTCTGTAAGGCAGGGTCCTGGGTGCCGTTTGTATCGACTGTAGGTGGGAAAATTCCAGAAGAACCACGGCAGCTGAAATGATTCAGTGAATTCATGAGCAAATGAATGAATAAATAAATGATCTGTATGTGTATCTAATGTTTTCCTGCACGTAGCAAATTTTGGAAACTGAAGCCTCATTGCCCAGAAACGGCGAGTGCAGCGTGCTTGCAGACCAGGGCACACCGATCGCGTGGGGAGAGCTTCCTCCCCTTCCCCACGGCACATGGGTTTGGCTGTGTGAGGAAACTGCACCCTGACTACTTGCCGCTTGCGACCCTGCTGCCGTGCATGGTGGCTTGACAACCTGGCATTACTTATTTGCTGGCTCCATTACTTCCCTCCCGTGTCTCTTTGACCTCAGAGAACACTCCGGAAGATTAAACCACCCTCTTAAAATCGCCTTGGGTTACCTGCTAATGGTTTTCTTTCTTTCTTTCTTTCAGTGAAAAAGGCGATTGAACTGAAGTCGAGAGGAGTCAAGATGCTACCCAACAAGGACAGCAGTCGTAAGAACTCTGTCTGTAAGTTCACTTCCCTTCTAGCTGAGGGTGGGTTTGTCTATCACAGAGGGAAGCGAGCATGAGCAGAGCAGAGCAGGAGATGCCATTCTGTACGAGGCGATTTTTACTTCCACTCCTACTTTTCTACTTTTCACATGTTCCTGGGAGAAAGGAGATTCAGTATCTTGACAGTGTTGGGGGGAAATATCCTCAGCGTATCTCAGATCTGCCATCTCGCGTCCTCCCCACTTTGGGGTGAAACATCCAGTTTCTCAGGGGCCAGGAGCACCTGGGTCCTCTTTCAACTCAAAGTCTTGCTCTCAGCCAGACCCCATCCATGGTCATCCCCAGCCCCGCGCACTGACACTAGAGAGAACTTGCTAAATAGGAATCTGCTCTCATCCTTTTTTTTTTTCCCCATGAGATGTTTTGATTGTCCGTGGCCTCAGGTAAAACCACATCCTGCTGCTGGATCTAGCTCTGCTTTCTCCACAACACTATTCCAGGGGCTCCCGCCTGGCCTAGGCACCCTAGTCCACTGTCGGTACCGAGGCCCTGCCGTAAGCATTGGAGGGAGCCGAGGACCTAAACCCGCAATGGGGTGTGAGACAGTCTGTGTTCTTCGAGATCTGCGACTCAGCTCTTATCCTGAGCTTTGCCTCCCTCCCCTATTCTGTGAATGTGTTGCTGTTTTTTCCATTTGAGTCTCACAGCCAAGTCCTTCAGATGAAATGGGACTGAACTATAGTGGGAAGGAAATTGGGCCTTGGTTTATACATCTACAGATTTCATATTTTCACTGTCAAATCATAGATCAAAGATATTCTGTAGAGTGGTGGACACAGTTTTGCCATCACTTTGAAAATCACTTTTTGTGACTGGAAATCCTGATCTAAATTTTGGCATGGCCCCTCTTATCGCGCCAATGGCTTTCACTGTCTGAATACCGGGTCTGATATGGGATTGATCAGATGTCATTCCGTCTCCTGACACTGAGCCTGCTCACTTGGGATGTTCTTTCTCTCCTTCCTCATCTGGACAGGAATTGAAAAATACATAAATGACTGGTTTGGTGTTGAAAGGGATCTGTACTGCCTCCGAATAGTATGAAGCTGTTTTGTGCAAGGCATTAGGGCTAGTTGTTCAAGAAGAGTTGCAGAGAATTAAGAAAAGGGATGGAAGGACTTCTAAATCAACAGTATTATAAATAAAATGTGTGATTTGTGGATGGTGTAGCTGTGAGAAACAAATGAAGCTTTTCATGGAGCACAGGACACGGGGTTTCAGGGAGAGACAAGGATCCCGGGCTAGGAAAGTAGGTACCTTGCTCAAGCCTAAGTGTCATCTGTGTAAATAAAACAGCGTCCCGTTTCACAGGATTGTCCTGTGGAGAAGCCAGGATGATGCGAATTGCCGGTCCAATCTGGGAGGTGTAGTGCGTCCTGCCCAGGAGGAATGCTTCACACAGGGAAGAAAGACGGATTGGTGTAAGCAGCGAGACAGCAGTGGGTTTCAGCAGCACAGGGTCTCGCTCTGCAGAAGAGAGGGAGCAAGTGACGCAGTGTACAGCTGCTCCACGCCTCGCAGCTGAGGATTTTAGCTATTCAAGAATTCCTCAGTATCTTGATAAGAATGTGGGGGGGGGGAGTGAAAGCCAGCAAGCCAGAGAGAGGGAGAGGAAAAGAGAACGAGAGCTTGGAGCGGAAGCCCTTTGCATTCTTTCTTCATGCTGCTCCTCACCCTGGATTTCCATGGCTGCCGTGGTGACTTGGTTCTTTATCCACCAGTAGTGAACGGCCATGCCCTCACACGGCCTATTTCTTTCCTCAACATCCAATTCAGTTTGGTCTCTAGGTTTTCCCGCCCTCCACAGGGCCTTGGCACCCACAGTGCTTGGCCATGTGCAGATTCAACCCAAGCCGCCTGTCTCTCCGGCCCCACAGGGGCTGACGGTCCCTCTAACTTGGGACTTCGGTGAAGCAGGATGAAGTATTCCAAAGCTGTTCCGCGCCGGCTGACAGCCCCTTCAGCGCTGCCTTGGTTTACCACTCGACGTTGCTTCTTCTAGAAGCCTGAATTGTTCCGTTTGTTTGGGGTCTTTTCATCCTTTGGTGAGTCCTCTCACAGGACCGGACATCCCTGGCCGTATTTGGACCCCGTGCCCTGAAGCACGCAGGCCTGGGCTGATGCAGCAGGATCAGCCCAGACACCTGAAACCGCCGTAAGCAAGGCTGACGGCAGGCGCCTGTGCACGGCTTTAGACGTTGGCACCATCTCCTCGCTCCTCTCCTGGGTGACATGCTAGCAGCCTTCCTCGTGCGTGGAGACCGGCTAGAGTAGTGAATTTCCATGCAGGGGCGAATGAAGGAAAGCCTTGTTGTTATTTTTGAGCTGCAGATTTTTTCCCCATGTAAAGTTAAACACAAATGACTTTACAAATGCAGTATTGATCCGTGGTAACTCATGGGGACGAATCGACAGCACAAGCTGGGTATTGAACATTTACTTACAACTGTTTACATCTCGCAGGGCAGGAAAGTTGAGTCTGGATCATTATTTAATACCAAGTTGCATTTTTAAGTGTGGGGAAATTGAGCAATGTGATGTATTGCCTTATAAACTCTTGGGGAAATGACAAGCGGGTATTATGAGAACACCGCCCCAGTCCAACCACATTCACCTCCTTGCTGTTGGCTTCCTTGCCTATTCTATGGTGATCAATTTTTTCTACCTTAAAAAACATACTTGAGGCAAAATAATACTCATTCCCACTCCCATATAAGCACTCCTGCTAATGAAAAGCAATGGATCACGGGTTGTCTTTTGTAATGGCACTCAGTAGTTCCAGTTGCCTGGGGCTTTTCCTTTGCCACAGACATAATTATGTAGAAGGGCAAATTTTAAAAACCTGTTGTTCCATTTATAGCCCTCTGCAAGGTACAGAGTCTCCACTGCTCTCCAAACCTGTGCATAGTGTGCAAGCGCCCTCTCCTCCACACGCTGGACTGGCTCACCGCTCCCTCCCACCCCAGACCCTCCCTGGTGGCTCATCTCCGTACAGTGAAGAATCCTCTTTCCTGATGGCATACATTCTCATCTGCTGAGAGAAGAGGGCTTGCTCTTACATCTTGTGTCATGTCTTGCCTCTGTGGCAGCTTGGGAGCTTAGCCTCCTTACTCCCAGTAGTGGGGTTCAGTCAGGGACAGGCTACAAAGTGAACCTCCTCCTCATGAGCTGACGTCCACGGAAGCCAAGCAGAAGAGAACATCGACACTGTGAACTTCCAACGCTAGAGCTGCCATGGGAAACCTCGGGACAAACCCTCCCAGTCCCCGTCATCATGGTCATCGAGTGCAGTGCTGTTTGATGTGACCCACCTCGGATGGGAGGGGGCAGCTGAGGTTTATTATCTTCACTCCTGGCCTCCGCCTGCCGTGTCTGCTGACCCTGAGTTCCAGCACCTGGACTGGCACTAAAACAAACAAACAAAACCAACCCTCACTGACTCTTCCAGCTGCACAGCGCGGCCTCCTCGCTACAGTCCAGGCTCCCTAGCATTTCCAAGGACACGAGTGCGTGGGCCTTGCACTCAGTCCTCGTCTCTCCTCTGTCGGAAGTGGTCCTTCTACAGGAGTCTCGTCTGTCTGTCTGTCCCTTCTGAGCATGTATGAAACTCACCTCATCATCAGCGCTGTGTGAGTTTCACACGCCTGGCTCGTTCACAGCTCTGTCTTCCGATACCTGCTCAGTTCCAACTTTCTCCTTTATTCTAATACTTGTCTTTGCATGCATTGCACACATAGACAGCCCTATGCATGTCTCCCCCTTGCTCCCCTTCAATCCGTGAGTAGGGCTGCTTCTGTCTATGTTGTTCCCATTTTGTACCAAGTGCTTATCAGGGGGCAGAGACACAGCAGGGGCTGAGAAATCATGGTGATCTGATGACGGAGTCATACAGTACTCGGTGAAGCTGGAAGGGAGTCCACGGGGTGACCCCGCTTTTCTCCAGTGATGCCTCCTCTGTTCACTCACCGAGCCACACCCCGAGGACCAGCCTGCGGCCGCCATAGAAACCACCCAAATGCATCTCTTCTCGACAAGGAAGGGTGCCCACTGGTGTCTCGGAACTCTAGAAATAGGACCCAGAAACCTGTGAGTAGTTGCTGCATAAAGAGCGCTCTCACAGAGGCAATGGCCGGTCTTGTGAAGACTGAGGCAACGCAGGACGTTCCTGTCATTCAGGAAGGTAACACGCAGCGGTCCATCCGGTTGAGGGTTCATGGAGACTAAGACCCAAGCCACATCAAACCCGGTGCAAAGGAAAGTAACACGCAGCGGTCCATCCGGTTGAGGGTTCGTGGAGACTAAGACCCAAGCCACATCAAACCCAGCGCAAAGGAAAGTAACACGCAGCGGTCCATCCGGTTGAAGGTTCGTGGAGACTAAGGGCCCAAGCCACATCAAACCCGGTGCAGGGTGAGTCAGGCTGCCAACCACCTGCGTCGTACCTCCAACACTGGACCACTCAAAGGTCCCACAGATGCCCTCCAGGCATGCGTTGAGAGAAAGAGGCCTGAGAGAGAGTCGTGTGCATTTATGAACGGCTCACCAATGACAATAAAAGACAGTTATCTTAGGATTGCCAGGCTGTCTGTCTAAACGGAAATGTTTGAAGCACGAGAGAGGAATTACTTTGTTTTCAAGTATGTGTCCTGCGCGCTGGCAGTCCGTGGTCCGAGCTCGCCATTGGTCTGATTCTGTGCTTTGGGACCCCCCGGATGAAGCTTGTTTTCAACATCTACTGCTGAACCAGTTCATGTGTGGCTGTGCCCGGCCCTGGGACCTGCCTGTGCTTCAGAAGGCCATTCTGCAGAATCCAGCAGTGAGAGTGGACCGGCAGTCTGGCCTGCAAGTGCCCCAGACACAGAGCTGGGCAGGAGGCCCGGGTGTAGGGTGAGGGGCGCGGGCCACAGGAGGCTGGCACTGCCCCGGGGTCTGCCCAGCGGGACCTCCCGTACTGC